TCAGCCACCCGAATGATCTCACTGCTAATGGTCCAGGTGTTCCACACCAGTCACTGAGAGGACAGGGACGGGCTTTATTTAAATGGACACTATTCCTATCTGCAACTGTTTTGGCTGACTGCAATGAAAATTGTGTCCTTTAGATACGTCTCTTCCATTAAAGATATTTTGGTTGAATTTGCTCTGCAGTGCTATCAGGGAAAGAAACCTAATATTAAAATTTATTACTCAGTCAAACTGTCCAGCTTTTTACAAGACTAAAACAAGGAGCTGAAATCTACATTGTAAGACTTCCAAAATCAATGCATTTAAATAGCATGCTTAACAACAGGATAGCAACTTCAAGTCCCTAGTTCTGAGAACTTTCTCCTTAGGGTGTTGTAAGATTTGAGGCAGTGACATGCTTAAATTCTCTAGGAGAAGGTTTATACCATGATATCTCATGTCCTGGGGCTGCATTAATGTTTTGGTGAGAGTAGCATGTGCTAAGGGAGCTGTCAGATCAATCACTGGATGAGAATTTATCTCCATTTTGAAATTTTAGCTGTATTTAAGCTTAGTCCTCTGAACTGCTGCATGCACCTGCAGGACATAATATTTAAGTCTGTAGTTGATGCTAGAGAGTTAACAACAAATTTCTTGGGGAAATATGCAGCCCTTTCAGACAGAATATGGTTTCAGACTATACAAAAGAACTGCTGGACCGCCAATGATAAGGGAGAAGAGGGATATTTTATGTGTGTGTGTACTTCTCTGCATATTTCCAAGAGTATAATTACTGATCTATTTCATTCAGCTGTTGATAATGGGTCTCATTCTTCTCCAGGTAACCACTCCCAATATAGAATAGTATGGTGCAAATCAGAGGTACATCAACTGAAGGTTTGGAAGCAAGAGCTTGACTTCCCAAGTTCCCCATCATCCTCGTTCCCATCCTTCTTTACTGACAGTCAGCAGCAGTTGAGACCTTTTGATTTATTTACAGAACTGGAAGAATACATAGAGGCAACTCTATGATAATCACTTAGGTGATATACAAGTGAGAGATAACAAAAGAAGGAAAAATTGCTGAAGCCTTGTAGTGGTCATTGTGGCTCAATATGAACCTCTCGTGTGTAGAAGTTTGAATTACTTTCTTTGCATGGTCAGAGTGTGCTGCTGACTACAGACTTCACTGACATAAGACTGGAGGTTGCATTTTTACTGGGTAGGGAAATGTCCATATACTGTCATTTCTAGAGCAGATGAAGCTATATGTTCAGAGCTGCACTTTCTACTACTTAAAATTTATTTATTGGAGCCAACTCCAAAAACACAGTTCACCTGGAATAATATAAATGTGTCTTCTCTTGGGAGATTGTGCTGATAGCGATTTTGGAAAAGGTTCACAGTTCTTTAGACCTCCTGACAGATGGGAGTGAAAAATATGAAGCTAGACATGGCCAAAACCCTCAAGCACACAATCATGTCTGTATGGCTTAATATGTCAGGTGACTCCCGGCAACTGCATTGTCTTTGCAAGCAAAAATGTGAGATAAATCTTATTAAGTAAGCCTCGTCCATAGATGTTTATGAGAATGTATGCTCTCTGTTATTTATCATGGGATATAAACCTGTAGAAGGAGGGCTACAGGAGCTCAGCTGATATGTTGTATCTCATGCTACAGTGACTTCTGTCAGAAATTCCCTCACTTTGCCTTTGGAGGTGCAATGACAGGAGGACTGGGAGTGTTTGCAGTTACTGCCTTGATTTCCCTGCTGGTTTTCTGTGCAGAGAGATTCTGCTGAGAAGTGTCTGCCTTCTTCTCCTCCTTTTCCACAAAGTCCTGAATGGGAGCACCCACAAAGTCAGGCCTGGGGGGACCATGCTACAGGAGTCAGCATTTCTCCAGTTAGCTTCTGTCCAACCCCATTTTTCTCAGAGTGCAGAGGAAAACATGCGTGCAGCCCACACAGAACTTCAGCTAAAGCCTTTGGAGGGTTTGCAAACAGTGCCTGTGCTGTTGGGTTTTCATCATGGTTCTTCATTATGGGTTCTGGAATATTTTACTCCAGACCTGCTCAGAACTTTGTTACCAGATTCACTAAGACACTGATGAATAAAAATCATATAACTATTTTTGCATTCTGTGGAGAAGAGTCCAAGAAAAGCCTGTTTGCAGAAATGAATGACCAAAATTTATTACTTGCTTTTATAATTTTTCCCTTCTTTGGTAGCCTAACAGTTTGTAATTTTTCTGCTTGCTCATGCAGGAACTACCTCTTCAGACTTAGTCTACACAACGTTTCTCTTATTCAGGTATGTTCACTTTTTACTGTCTTATTTTATTTGACTTGCTAATGAATGTTCTGTAATATTTGATGTACATTTTCAGAAGGCTGTATAGTGTAAATTTGCCCAGAATGATGGAGCAGGGAGAAGACCAAGTTAGAACCAGATGCTTATTTCTACTCCAACAATAATGCTGGGGGAAGGGATCCTCTGCACTTGCCCATTTGCATAGTGCTCCCTGCTCTTGATTCTTGAGTGTTTGGGTGGCATTGGGATCTGCCAAAAATATGGCATCTTAAAGAACAAAGCATGTAGTGTGACTGATACAGGCTTAAGCACAACAATCAATAGAAATCCTTGGCTTTCATTAGAGGAGATGTCAGCAACACATAGCAGAAGCTTTTACTATTCTTGTCCATCCACATTTTTAGCCATTGTTGGCCTCTGTGATCATGAATTGCTGAGGAGCTGTGTTTTGCTGAATGCATTACTAAAACCAAGATTAGACTTGCAAGCATTCGAGAGGCAAAATGGGCTGAAAAATGTACATTACCTGTAGCAGAACGGAGACAAAGCAGCTAAAGTTTGAGAGGGCTTGCAAATATCCAGCAGTATTAGGACTTTCCTCCTGCTGCACTGAATCTGGAATTGAAAGATGCAGCAAAAATTGTTAGTGAAAAACCCAGCTGCTTATCTTTAAATAAATAAATACTTATGCTCTGGGATATTTGCTACCTTCTACAGTTGCTAGAGCCCAAAGATGTATTCAGCATTTTTCAGGCAGATTGAAGAGCCTTCCTCCTGTACCTGACCATGCATAGAAGCCATTAGAGCAGTATTGCCAACTATTCCAATGTGCACAAGCCTTTTGCTGTTAGTGAGAGTTAGAAGTATAGCTGGAGAGAAGAAAAGATATTTAATGGTTGCAAAATGCATTGAGTCTTCCTTTAAAAGGAAAAGAAAGTCTGGACTTACCAATGGCAACAATAAAGAGTTGGAGAAGCTGATACTCCCATTTGCCAGTAGTTTCCCTTTGCAGAGCCATATTAGCATGGCTGGAAGGCTTCCAGCACAGGAGAGGGGAGTCTCTGTAACTATGAGAGGTGTCATACCTTCTGCAGTGCCTCCTGCCACACTGCCTGACACAGCCTCTTGTGCTTATCAGACAAGGGATCCCCTTCCACAAAACCAGCTGTGTACCTCCCTTGTACACGTCTGAAGTCAAGCTTGGCGTGGGCCCTTTTCAGTGCAGTGAGTTTCCTTTCCTACGCTGCAGAACATGGGAAGTCTCCTTCTATAGCACTGGAGGATGCTGTGGGATCTCCGGTTAACATAATGAGCTTAGTTTACTCCTGCTTTCTGGGTGTATCCGGTCACTTTGCCAAGACTTTTTGCATGACAAAGAGAGCATGGAATTATGTTGACACACGTGTTGGGAATGATGGAAGCGATTGTTTCCCGACCTAACGGTTGCCTAAGTAGCTGCTTGGCTTGTTTCCATACAGCACATGATGTGGCTCAGAGGCACCCCCTCCCACCTTCCCTTCACCATGCATCATTTTAAAGATCAGATCACAAAGCGAGACAAGAAATGCAAGGAATTTGCAGTTAGATCTATAGCAGATGAAAGTGCAATTTAAGAAGTAATCACAATGCTAATTTGGGTTATTTTTTGGCTTGCAAGTAAAATACAGTGTGGATCTTGTCAGGCTTGATTTGGGGCTAGTTTTTCATCTTGAGGTTGTAGTCTGATTTATTTCTGCTCATGGGACTTACTCTTCAGGTTACCAGCAGTGTTAAATCTGCTTCAGGGTGCAGGATTGTGTTGACAGATGTCTGCTCCCTTGCATTTGTATTTCCATGAGATAAGGGCAGAAATGCGGGGACCCCACTCTATGGAGACTGCAGGATATGCTGGTTTTGGGGCAAAGCCTGACAGCGTGAGGAATATGCCTCTCTACAGAAGGGTTAGGTGAAATCTAAAGCTGTTTTTCACTGAGTGTTCTTGTGCAATCAGCTATATCTCTAGGCTGCACTGTCCCTGTGGGGAAACGGCAAGGGCACAAAATGTGCCCCACAGCTGTCATGGCAAAGAGAGGAGGTCAGGGTGTTCCTGTGAAGGAGATGACTCTTAATTGTCTGTTCAGCAAGGACGGCAACAGCAACTTGTAGGAGCAATGTTCCCGTGCCACTGCTTGGTAGCACAGCAAATTCAGTATTTTAGTCTCTCTTTCTGTAATGGGTAGATTTACGAGATCAGTCTACCTCATGCATGCTTTCCTTGACAGTTATCTGTTCTTTAACCAGAAAATGTATATTTTCTGCCATTGAACAGGCCATAATGTTTTTTAACGCAGTATTACTTTATTCACTACTTTCCAGTGGGAGAAAATTCTTCTTTTTCTGGATTATAATCCCCTTTATGAGTACCATGTATCACAAACCCAGTCTTAACCATGTCATTACTCTCTGATTTTAGAAAGGTTTTCAGGTCCCAGGCTTTAAAAGACGTCGCTCTTTTCTTCTACCTGTTGAATGACTCTGGAGACCTTTCATTTAAGCCCAGTGAAAACCCAGTTAAAATGAGGAATAATTCTACATCAACTTCAAGGATCATTCTGTGAAGCTGTCATTCCTGAAAGTACATTTTAGGAGTCTTCAGTTCCAGAAGCTAAAATTACATCATTATTTGTGAATCTCTGTTGGAATGCCAGGAGTATAAACTTAGTTTTGTAATCCCACAGCAAAGAAAACTCTGGAATATTATGTAGCCAATCTATGTAGTATGGATAGGAAGTTCTTGTCTTGGAATTGCAGTAGATTAAAAGACAAAATTTTGTATTATATGGGCAAGTTATTGGATAAGAACTATGTAAAAAAAATAGCATTACCCTACAGAATAGCTGAGACTTCAGGGAGGGAAGGAAAAGAGATTTTAGGATGTGTCAGCTGTTGGATCATATTATAAAGGGGTAATTTCTTTTCCTTAGCTCTCAGCTGCTGTATCATGTGCTGAAGTTTTCTCCTCACTCTGGATTTTCTATGGCTCTGTTGAGTTGTTTCTCCAACTGGAGCACTGAGCTTTCACACAAGAACTAGTGAAGGGACTGGAGCAGAAATTGTCTGCAGAACAAAATGTACCAACTTCTCGCCCCCCCCTCCGTCTTTGTTTCTGAAATGTGTTTCAGAAATTCCATTTGGGACCTGAGAAACCTTTCACCAAATGAGTTTTAGTTGCATGAGAAACTCTGGTGGTGGTTAATGTTTTTGTGGGAAACATTTTTGGCTGAATGTCAATATCCAGAAAGAAACTGAGGCCAAAGTATTTTGGGGGTCACTTGTGATTTTGTCTACCTGTGTTTCTTGCCAAAATTGAGGCACGTTGTTAAAGAATTTCTGAAAATCAGCATCTTGAGATGCCCCATGTGGAATATCCAAAAGCACCTGTTAATTTTGGAAACTTTGGCATGTAGCTTTCAAATTCATGCAGCAGTCAAGAAATACAGTTTTAAAATAGATACAGTTCCCTAAATCTTTTAGCATCTGTTTTTGAACAAAACTCCTGCTCATGTTTTCATCTCCATCTTTAAATGGTCCTCTTGTATGCATTATAAGCTCGAAGTATTAGGCATCTTACAGAACACATTTCTTAAATGATGTGCACTCAGAGTACATGCTGCTTAATTTATGCATGGGTCTGAAACAAGGTTAGGTCCTAATCTGCAGCTTTCACAGTGAGGCTATAGAAAAGTCTGTTTTATATTGGGGTTTGTAATTAATAGAGTAGGTGGAAGGGTCATTTTGAAAACATAAGCCTTTGAGCAAATTTTTAGAAATGTACAATGCTGATTAGGACTTCTAAGGAAGGAATGCTGTTCTCTGGTGTGCGTTAAAAGCGGGCTACTTGGCAGGCATTTCCTAAGTCCCAGTGCAGTGCCTACCCCCTGTTCACACTGATTTTACCTGGAACTTAGAGTTCTCAATTGAACGGAGTGGGAAATAATTTTTCCAGCCTTTTTGAGATGGCAAGATTTCCAACCTTTTTGCACTGAGATTAAAAAAAAAAAGACTTTTTGACATCTTTATAAAATCTGAAGGAGAAAGAGATAGACACATGGTTACTTAGGATGCAAATATTCTGGGTCAAGTTATTTTGTGAAGCATCGAGAGAGGATCTGAATGTGCATTTCTCTCATCTCAAGAGATTGACCTGGTTTGTCTGGGGCATTTCCTTGCCTCGCCTTGCCTCACCTCACCTCACCTCCCCTCCTCCCTCCTCTCCTCTCCCTTTTCCCTTTGATTCCAAGGTTCCTTTCTGGACACTCATCAGATAAGTTTCATAGAAGCTGTTAGAATTTAATAAAATGTTTTTATTTCAATTATTTGTTTTAGTGGAAGATCTCTTGTGCAAAATTTTCTAACCAGCCCTGTGAAGTTTGTATGCTGACCAGTCATGTAATATTGGGTTAATAGTATTTTAAATACTTTGAGAGTCTGTACATATTCCCTTTCTTAAAAATAACCTGAGTTTTAACAGAATATGAAAGAATAAGTGGGTGCACCTATTGCAAAACCGTAACATACACTTGCAGAGCCTGTTTTTCATCAGCCACAGTTGTTTTGAGGTGCACTTGTTCCAGCATGGCCTTCTCTACAGGTCACAGTGCCTTCAGAGATGTAGCTTCTATGGCACAGACATAACCATGCCTGCAGATACCTTGAGATGTACCTGCTCTGACATGGGCTTATCCATGGCCACAGGTGCTTCAGGATGTCCTGCACCCACAAGGACTCCTCCCATCCACAGGTCACAGTCCCTTTGACTTAGGTTCACCCTGAAGTTCCAGCCTGTCCAGTACAGCAGTGCGGAACCAGAAGCGATGCCCTGGCCACCTGCCAGCCCCGGTGCGTGGCCAGTGCTGCCATCAAAGTGCTCCCAGGCTCAGCAGAGCGAGGTGAGGAGCAGTATGGCAGTGCTGCAGGGAGCGAGAGCAGAAAAACAGCCACTAATGAGCACTAGCCTCTAA